CGACTCACACCAAACTCGAACTGCCGAGCGTCGGTTTTCACGAAATACGACATGTAATTTCGGTTGAAAATGCATCGAGGTCGCGGAAACAGAGGACGCCATCTCTTTTGTTCATGATACAGAACGTGCTGCATGTGGCCGAGGGAGGCAAAGTGCGCGTGATACCGCTGCGAGATGAGGCCTTGTATCGCGATACAGTATATCGGTATAGCGAAAATGCACACTATATCAAAATATTGGTTGCCGCTGTCATTTGCTCTCGCTACAGAGCTCGCACGGCGACGTCACATATCATTTTGGACTTCCCAAAGTGTGGTCTATCACTCTGGCAAGTATGGGCGATTTCATTTTGAAACTTTATTTTCGTCGATCCGCTGACGCCCTGACCAGCGTTCGCCCAAATATGGTTATTGATGGTTTTAAATGGCGAACGCCAATACTAATGACCGGCGACGCCAGAAAGACGACGCCGAGGCTCCTTGGGCACCACTGACGCTGCTGCATTGCGCTCGAGGAGACACCATCAACAGTCTCTATGCACATGCCATCACGAGGTATCGCTCGGTCGCAATGCTGCGTTCCTCGCCGGTCTCCCTCATTTTCGTCAACGCCAGGCCAGAGCGTTTCAGCCAATCAGAGCGGCAAGGCTTCAGATTTGTGGCCAATCAGCAGTGTTCTTGCCGCAGTTCTGGAACGGATCATCGCCGCCAGCGAAGTCACATAGTACGTGGGAAGTCGTGCACAGGCCTCAGGCTAAGCGCTCACCCGACGTCGCAGTAGTTACATATGTATGCCGCAGCCTATCTATGCGTGGCAAACCACCGAGGCGACCCTTCGGCGGAACCCTGGCCAATTTCTCGACGGCCTCTCTCGCACGTCGGCCAACGCCGCGTCGTCGTCGGAGGGCGCGGGCCATCTCTCGGCGCTGATTCCGATGGCTCGAGCTCGAGCACATAACGCATTATGACCTCCCGCTTGTACACTGCACTGAGCCGAGACTGCTGGCAGCGCCACGCCAACGTATTGCTCGCCTTCTCGCTCGACGTCGCCTGCGATCACGGAGGTGGTGCCAGCGCCGCTCGCATCGCTCCTCACGTCGATCGCTGAGTCGGACGAGGTATCTATTGCGCCTACACACAACCTCGTGGCCGTGGCGTGGCGCCGGCTCCTTAGCGCTGCCGAACACGATGCGACTGCGCGGCGTCTCGGCGTCCGACAGCTTTGTGCTGTACGCCAGCCTCTTCACCGGTCTTTTCTTCGCCCCCAAGACTGCGCAGGACGACGCGACGGCGCTGGAGCTCTCGCGGCACGTGGCCACCATCTACACGACGCTTTGCAAGATGGCGGTCAACACACCTGCCGCCTTGGTGGCACTTGACCTGCTGATCAACTACGTCCATGCCAGCGACACCTCGAAGCGTGCGATCGTTGCCCAAGGTGTGTTCTACGCGCAGCTCTGGGAGGCGGACGTGGCACGCAATGACGCCTCGCCACAGGTGTTTTCGCTGCTCAAATCGCTCGTACTCCACTCGGATGGCGTCCTCGCAGCCATCGAGCGCGGCTTCATTGCGAAGGCAGTTGCGTCACTGGACGAGACGCTGCGGCAGATCGCCAAGGGCAGCAAGAACTTCTCAATTGCTGCTGTCGGACCGCTCGTCGAAGTGTTGGTCAACGTCGCCAGCGTCGAGGACGGCCGCATCGAGCTCGGCACCGCAAGCGCGCGCTCTACGGCTATTAGATGTAGTATTGTGTGTACGTAGTATGTGATTGTAAACCCCTGTGAACTACGTAGTACCAATGTCCTTTCAAGTGTTGGAGTGCCGATGACAAAATAATTTGTTGTCGCATGCCAAGAATCCACTTAAGCTCTATCGAGTACTGCGACGAATAGGACGCATACGTGCATCGATGATGACGCTCGATGCGGTATTTTAAACGAGAAGAGCGCCGTGTCATCGATGGCCGCTGTGAGACCGCCGAGCACGGTAGCTGCTGGCAACGACACCTCCATTGCCGCGACCAAGCCTCGTGTTACCAGCAACAAAATGCAGTGCGTCCGTCACCACCGTACCTCTCGACGTTCGAGACGGGCACCATGGCAGAAACTCGACACGGTCGACTGGCCTCACGCACCTCGTGGTCGACGACGCCGGGTCTGCGACTGCGCATCATCTCCATGGCTCGCAACGCGCTTGGCTCGCCTCCTCAAGAGCTACTCTCGGTGCCCATAGGCGGCGCCATGACATGAGCATCCTGGACGATCGCCATCCCGATCTCCAAGATCTGAGCGGTCGTCTATTTTTACTCATCTGACACTGATGCTTCTCATTGGTCCAATTTTTAAACATTTATGGCCTATGACAAGACGGCGTTCACGACCCATAATCGGCGGCGTGCACCCTCGCATCACGAAATGACCATCTGGAATGAAATCGCTCATACGTTGCAGGTGTACAGAGACAAGTCTGGCGAGTCCAAAACAACAAGTCGCGTCGTCGTTCGATGTCAACATAAAGAAAAATTACCCGGCAACGATCCCATCCTATCACGTCGCGACTGAGAAAGATCGATTCCATGACAGATCACGACTGTTTGTCCTCCTCCAACTCGACACAGTGATGCGCATCCAGTATTGCTTTCTCCGCGTCTCCATCACATCATGGTCAAGTTTGTCGTCACCGCGCTCGCGCTCGTCGCTAGCACTTTTGCGGCCGCTGCTGCTGTCGACACGCCAGCGATCGCCAAACTGAGCGCCGAAGCAGGCCAGACAACCCAAAACCTCCGCGAGGGTGGCCAGAAGGAGTGCTTTGGGTCGATCTGCGGTGGCGGTGGCATTGGTTGGGGTCTTGGTGGCTTTGGTTGGGGACTTGGTGGCGGCTGCGGTCTCTTTTCGCCGTTCGGTTGCGGCGGCTGGTTCTAGACGCCACGTTTTGTGCCGAGCAATGAACGATATACTACTAACCGTTTATCAAATCAATGATTTTTCCGAGCTCAACCCTTTCACCGAGGTAGAATTCACACATTCATATCGAAATATCGAGATGCATACAGAAAGATGCATCGACGGTTCGGTGAGCGGTTTCATCAAGTACGGAAGCGCGTTTGGCGAGCGCGAGTGTGCGAAGAAGCGCCCGTCATCACCAAATGTATGGCACGCTTTTTCATATTTGTTACATTTTCTCTCGGCCCAGGACACACAATGCATCATCACCAATTCATTATTTAAAACTGAAATCACCGAGATGAGGCTTATTGGTAGAGGACGCATTGGAGAGCACAGGATGCGAGGTCGCGTTGATGTGCGAGGCGTACAGTGGCAGCGAGACACGATCGGAGATGCACTTTCAACTAAGATCGTAGTGCCATCTTAGAGGCACCACTCAAAGACGTCGACGCCACTTGTCGACAGCATCAGGTTTGAAACGAAATCGCTCAAAGTTGGCACCGTGAAACTTTGGGGAGCCGAGCAGCCCACGAGACGGTGCCGCTGCCGTCCTACAAGGCACGCAATGCATAAAAAGATAACGAGCGCCACTTTGTGTCGAGCAATGAACAATAGACTACTAGTTGTCTATCAAATCAATGGTTTCTCCGATACCCGAGTTCCCAGCGCTCTATTCTGGCGCCAAACTCTTGAGGTCGCAAAAGCGAGAGAGCCACATGGTGTCGCTGGAAGACCAGCTTCTACAACCGTGACAGCCCTTGCCAAGGTGAGTTACTTGAATGACTCGAATGGGTAAGTTCAAACCAAATGCCAAGCCATTCTGAATGATCGTTGTCATCTCAAGCTTTACAGTAATTTGTCGGCAACGATACCAAGTGGCGATGTGATCTCGAGGCAGAGCGTCACACGACCGCCATGTAGTTTCGATGAAAGGCCAGCTCTATCGCAAATGGACGTCATCGACCTGGTATTCAATGTATTGTGTCGATGGACGTCTCCGGATACGCAGCTGCACTTTCTGGCTACAGAGGCGACGTGTGGTGGTGCCACGTCATGCGTTTGGTTTTGAGTCAAGTATGCCGATGTTCTCACAATAGCAGAGTTCAAGAAACATGATACAATATATCGCCCCATGCGAAGAAGGGAAAAAGGGCAGTTGGTGGTGCATGTAGATCATGTGGGGCCAGAGTGTGGTGGCATCTGTCCCTTTATCCGGATTCGGCGATCCTAGTCGCCTGCGCGATTAGCCCATCGAACAAACATATCCGGATAGAAGATAAAAGATAGAACTATACCAATGGTTGTCTATATAGAACAGTAGTTGGATGTTAAATACACTCATAGAATCACAATCCAAATACCGTTGCGGTAGCAAGTCGGCAAAATACCGTTGCGGCTGCAAGTTGGCCATCTCCCTTGTGTTCGGCGCCAGAGACAACAGACATGACCAAGAAGCCGACCAAAATGAGCCCAGTCGCACCGTTTACTACACCAGAAGAACTCGCATCGCGCTCGATGCCGCGCGGCTACGCCTTCCTCCGCATCTTTGTGCGCCTCATCGACGTCAGCGTCAACATCTACTCGCTCGTGTCGTTCGCCGCCACGTCCTCGCTTATCGACGTAGTTCTCATGCGCGAGGCTGTCTTCCTCGACGACGTCGCCAACGGCCTCTTCGACTTCACCCCTGCGACGTCACGCGACCAAATCATTCTCGACGCGCTGCACGCGGCAAAGCCGGGCCAGTGCCGAAGCATCGGGTTCATGGAAGGCAAAGAAGCCATGCCCACGGGCGGAAAAACAGCGAGCTATTGCCACCGCATCAACGTGGACCTGGGTTACGAAGCCCACGTCATGTACTATGGCGACGGCATCTCTCGGCGCTACTTGCGGAAGATCCAGACCCAGCTCCCGCCGACGTGCGTAGGCTGGACGGTCGCGGCGGGGGCCCCTTATACCGCCACTCCGATCCGCGCAGTCCAGGAGGCCCGCCAAGCCTACGGCGACTCATACCTGCGGTGCACAGACCCGCGCATCTTCACCTCCAACTCGTACGCGGATGCCACCAACGTCACGACAGTGAGGTTCCGAGCCGGGGCTATCGTTGCCCAGAAGCACTTTGCTGGCGCGCAGTTTGGCCTCGAGACCCACCAGTCCTACTGCAAGGCAGAGAAGTTGGGTGACTCGGACGTCTACAAGGTTTCTCCCTTCACGGACGGAGACACGCGCATGTACGTGACGGTCCTCTTTTCGGACAAGGGCTGGCTCAACTACGTGCTCGACTACGGCGGCCAAGCCATCGTTCTCATCGTCTTGATTCAAGAGGTCGTGCGGGCGGTGACAATGAGTCTAGTGTCGATTCCCACCGCGCCCTTCTCTTTCTACACATATGGCGTCCGGACGCTGCTGGGTCAAGACCTCGGGATGGCCCCGCTTGCGAACGGCGGCGCGGCCACGATGCAGCTTTCCCAGATCTGGCTCGCAAACCCGTGGTACCTCATTGGGAACTCCATGTACGCGCTCGGGTCGAGCATTGAGACCCAGATGATCGTGGAAATCCTCTTCTGGCAGTACCAGAAGTCCTGGGGCATGGACAAACTGCTGCTTTCGGGCGTCTACGCGATGCGCCATGCTTGGATCAGCGTCATGGTTTGGACCGCGATTCGGCTTCTCGTCAAGTTTCTGCCGGTCAAGGTCCGCCAGTACATGGCGCCTATCCGAGCTCTGGAATGCTACTGCTCGAGTCGTGCCGCTGTCTTGGCCTTCATCCTCGCCTCCATCTTCACCGTCTTCACGCGGAACGTGCTATACCTCACGCAGTTCCAGGAATATCCGGACGTGCTCCTAGGCATTCCCATGACGTCGATGTGGCAGTCGGAGGTCTTCCAGAGTCTGGCGGTGAACCACGGGTGGGCATCTTCCTTGGCTCAGCTTTCGCTCTTGTCACGTGGGTCGTGCTGGCAAAGACCTACCCAGGCCACCGAGACAATTCCCTTGTGCGGATCATCGACGAAAACCGGCTTTGCGCCGGCTTTGACCTCGCTCAACTCTTCTCCACCGGCTGTGCATTCACGCACCAAGGCCGCTGCGTCCTGCTCTTGCCGCTCGCCGACATCTACCTCATCTACTCGTCCGTGAATCTGCTCTCGAGCACAGCTCTGGCCGGCATCGAGAACATCAAGCCCGGCCACGCCATCACAATGGCAACGACCAAAAACGGGGCCTTGTGCACACTCAGTGACTCGGGCATGTACATTCCCCAATTCGTGGCACTACAGGCTAATAGCCCCCGCGACGTGATCTACTGCGCGATTGTCTAAAATGGCCGCGAGTTGGGCGTTCTTTTGCATTCCTTTCCTAGCTCAGAGAAATACATGTGCACATTCAGAACTCAACGTATATGTGTGAAGCCGCATTTGCTCCACGAATCCGGTTTCGCCTGCACTGCACATGCATGTGCAGTGTACTAACATGTAACGTTAGTACTGCAATTGTATGATAAGAATCCAAACTGTCCAATTTGACGTGCATTATACAGAGGCGCGCCGCCTAGCGCGATGCCTTTGTCTGGGTACGTCGTAATGCTGGCGAATGGCGGCGGCGTGGTCTCATCGGGCGCGAAGAGGTCGATGGCCGGCAGCGTCGGCTTGGTCTTCTTGAGCGCCTTGACGCGGCCGTCGAGGTTCCGCTTACGCTTCTCGCGGAAGCTAGCGCGCTCTGCCTCCTCGTGCAGCCGCTCGTCCCGCCGGACCTTCTCGATGTTCGCGCGTGTCCACACCACTTCTTGTGCTTGTGGATCGCGCGTTTGGAGCACGATCTGGAATGGGTGTTTTAATTG